CTTCTTCTTCTTCTTCTTCTTCTTCTTCTTCTTTTTCTTCTTCTTCTTCTTCTTCTTCTTCTTCTTCTCATTAGCATTAAAACACTAACAAATTATATCTCTAAGCATATGTGAGTTCTCTTGACGTTGCAAGGTCGAGAAATGTTTCTTTCTCTTCATCATCATCATCATCATCATCATCATCATCATCATCATCATCATCATCATCATCATCATCATCATCATCATCATCATCATCATCACTGACAAGGGAGTTCCTTTTACGTGCAATCAGATGGATCCATGGTTTCGTGAGAAACAGACAAGCCCGTGTTTGCCTGACTGGAGAATTTCAAGCAAGGGCTTCCCCTAGGAGCTGTACTTTCGCCACTGCTGTTAATATTCTTCATAAACAATCTTGCAGAATCCATCCCAAACCCTGACTCACAACAACTAAACTCCGCCAAGCTGATCTACTTCATGTTCACTGATGACTGCACAATATTGGCCAATCATGCATAGAGAGAAAAGGCAAATGAAGCGACACAATTGATAATGGACATGGTTGTGAAATGGAGCAATGAATGGAAACTTAATTGGATGCAACCAAGGGTGGGGTGTGCTTCTTCTCAACATGGGTGAAGGAGGCAACGTGGCAACCAATAATTCAGATTGAAGGGGAAAAGATACGATTTAACCACGTTCCATGCCTTCTGGGCGTCTATCTGGATAGACAGCTAACCATCTACAAGAACATTGAGGAAGTGTCCTAAAGTGCAACCTAAAAAATGACGATGATCGGTGCTGTCAGCAACTCAAAATGGCAAGGAATCGCTCCAGAAGGTACGTCAGATGTTTGTGAAAAGCAAGATGGATTATGCTGCCCCGGCGTGGCAGCCTTGGCTGAGTGAGACCATTGCAAAGAACCTGGACAGAATACAAAACAAAGCCCTCCGCCTTGTATCAGGGCAGCTGAAAACAACACCAACAGAAGCACTGCGCTATGAGACCAGACCTGAGCACTACACCACCTACACAAAAAGAACATTCCTCAAGTCTGTAGAGATGGCTAAGCGATTGCCAGACAGCCATCCTAGAAAGAAAGCCCTTGATTAAACAGTCAAGCCTAAAAACGGCAGGATAGGTTGGTTTCGGAGGGGCACCGACCTTGCAGACCACCTCCCCCTTGAAGCAGAGAATCGATGGCCAATCAATTTGTTGAGAGTGGGTCCATGGGAGACCCAAGGCGAACTCGAAATCCGGACAGAATTGAGAGGAGTGAAGAGCAAAGGTGATGATCCTGTAAAGGCACGTGAAGCTGCAGAGGGTGTAATCACGGAGGTTTGTGCCGGTGTGACAATTTTCACTGATGGATCGGCTGTTGCAGGATACCGCGAAAGTGGAGCAGCAGCAGTGGTGATAATTAATAAAGAACCACCACGAACAGAATTCATTAGAACTAAAGGTACATTCCTCACATCATTTTATGACGAGGAAGGCCAGGCAACGATGTCTGCTGCCCAATGGATTGTTGACAATTGACAGTGGAACCAATGTGCTGATTTTACGGACAGTCAGTCCCTCTTAAAGGGACTGCTAGGCAACAGCTCAAACATAAATGATTTGCGCCGCAAGATCCAGTGGATCCCAATCAATGCTGGAATCGAAGGAAATGAGGCAGCAGACCTAGCTGCCAATGAAGCCAGAGAGATTGAAGGAGGCAGACGACCAATAACATACAGGGAAGTCTTTCTAATGATCAAGAGGGGAATCAGAGACCCACCGTGCAAAGCTGAGTACCAGCACCAGGAGGATGTGTGTTCTGGGTACTCCAGTAAGCAGGAACAATTAATTTTATCACATGTGGCTGGGACCAGGTTGGGCTAGCGAGACTGCGGTCGGACCATCATTGCAGCTTGAGATGGTATCAGAACTTTGTGCATGCAGAGCTCAATACTACCCACGTTGCCGAAGAGGCAGCCAAGAAAGGGAGTATGTCATTATGTTTGAATGTCTGGGATCAATGACGATTCGAATGAAGTTATTTGGATGAGTGGAGGTGCCTCTGAATATAAAGACAATGGAGCCGAAAAAGAGCCTCGCTCTCTCTCTTGAAGATTTCTCCGTGGAGTCCACCAGGCCCATCAAGGAAAAAAAATCATCATCATCATCATCATCATCGCCATCGTCATCGTCATCGTCATCGTCATCATCATCATCATCATCATCGTCGTCATCGACAACATCATTCTCATCCTCATCCTCATTATCATCATCATCATCATCATCATCATCATCATCATCATCATCATCATCATCATCGCTTCCCCATTTGTTGTGGCTGTCTTCGTTGAGAACGGCACTCCCCGTCGTGAAGTTGACGGCTTGCCACTTTAAGTACAATAAAAAATCTAGCGGATTCCAAGCCATGTAGGGATAGAAGGAAATGATGCAGCAGACAAAGTTGCTAATGAAGCCAGAGAGATTGAAGGAGACAGACGACCAACAACATACAGAGGAGTCTTTCAAATGATCAAGAGGGAAATCAGAGACCCACCGTGAAGAACTAAGTAACAGCACCTGGAAGATGTGTATTCTGGGCAGTCCTATAAGCGGGAACAAAATATCACATGTCGCTGGGACCAGGTTGAGCTAGCGAGACTGCGGTCAGACCATCATTGGAGCTTTAGATGGTAAATGAAGACCTCAGCCCTGTTGTCGAAGATGCGGAAATGAAAAGGAGGATGTCAAACATTTGTTTGAATGTCCAGGAACAACGGCAATTCGAATGGAGTTATTTGGACGAGTGGAGGTGCCGCTAAGCATATTGACAATGGAGCCGAAAAAGAGCCTCGCTCTCGCTCGAAGATTTCTTCTTGGAGTCCGCCAGGCCCATTAAGGAAACAAAAAATAAATCACCATCATCATATCCAGAAAATGGTAAGACCTCTGTGCATCATCACACATTTTACGCTGATAGTCTAGTGGCTAGGCGAGTTCGGGGATCCTCAGACCCGACGTTGTGTCCTAGGAAAAGGCACTTTACACGTATTTTCCTCACTTCATCCAGGTGAAAACATTAGATGGCCATTAACACCGAAAAAGCTTGTCAGTGTTCTAGGTCCTATAAAAAAAGGCAGCTCACTCTCTATGCTTCTCAGGAAGTTGAGATTGTTCCATAATGCTATCCCGTCTGCTGGGGTAATAATAGCAGATTCTAAAGCGCATAGAGCTTTCTGTTGAGCGGGAATTTGCGCTATACAAATGCTGTCTATTGTTATTATTATTATAACATGTATTATTATTACATAAATACTATGGTTAACATTAATTTATTGTACTACAGTGGCTTCTTGTGTTGTTGTTAGTTTGTTTCCCGATAGTGCATAGTATTATGATCCTTTTAATAAAGTATGTTTGTATCTATCATCCGAGATGTTGATTTTCCTAGCTTAAATATTTTATATTGAATGCTTTGCTTACAGTACTCTCATTTTTTGCATTATTTCGCCATTCCCTCCCCCTACTGCCCCCAGTCTCGGAGCTTCCCATGACAGTGGGTCTACTGGATACATCATGGCACCCTCCTCATCACCGTCTTCAAACAACCGCTGGTCGTTCTCGTTGTGTTCTTCCAGTGACATCACTGGGGTGATTACGCAAATAACGTTAGTAATATTCCGTACATTCTTTTTATTATTCGTTTTGGGGTTTTTTTGTTTTTGTAATGGTTCTTTGCGTCTCGTTTGTCTTTTACTTGGCATTCTTGGTCTTTTTTTCTCTTTTTGTTGTTGTTGGTAGTCATTTTTTCCTGTGGTTTTTTTTGGTATTTGTTCTTGTTGTTTTTGATGATGATGATGATGATGATGATGATGATGATGATGATGATGATGATGATGATGATGATGATGTTGTTTTTATTGTTGTTGTTGTTAATGTTGTTGTTGTTGCTGTTGTTGTGTGCGTGAGATAGCCTATCCTTCCGCATTGTTTGGAGCCCCGAAGAGTATGCTCTTCGCCAGTGCCGCCACCTCTTTTGGGTAGCGGGTGAGACAGTCCAACCTTCCTGGGATGCCGCTGCCGGCCTCTGAAGCGGGACATCTCTGTGGCCATTACTCCAAATCTTGGGGTTCCTCGTTGCACAATTGACAGATTGGGTCCGAATGTGTTGTCGATTCTATGTTTGTAGGCCTGCAGCCCAGAGAAGTGGCCAGTCCTGATTTTCGTCAATAGTGACTGGTCGCTGCGGGACTTAATTTGCATCTCCCAATGTGTGGATAGTGCCCCGTACAACCCCTTCGTATGCGAGTGGGATATCG